TAGTTTTCGGCATTTTCATGTGCCCACTTTTATATTTTTTTTGTGCTTGGTTTTGGGGGCAGCCCCTGCGTGAGTCGGTACAGTTTTCGCAGCCTGTATATATACTGCGAATGCGGAATATAAAAACCTATTTACCTAGGGACACCCGGGGAACAGCGATTCGGAGGCGATTCAGGCGCTTGGGGTGTCAACCAATTTCGAGTGTTTCGCTGGTCCTGGCCCGGGCCTGGGTCCTGGCCCACAGAAAGTCCACACCGCTGCTGGTTTTCCTTTATACTGGCTGGGAAAGCGGTGTGCTGCCAATTGTTGTTTTTGTTTGGACGCACACACTCCGAGGTGTGTACATGTATTTGCCACATTGCCATTTTCATTTCAATTCATTTCATTTATTTATGCAATATTTTATGTGGCCATTCATTTTTTGGCCGTTTTGGTTGTCGTCGTCCTCGTCCTCATCCTCGTCGGTTACGTTCACGTGCCAGTTTGTTCTATTAATTTGTTGTCGCTTCGTTCCCGGTTTCTATTCTATTCAGACCTGGTCTATTTGCCCCGGTTATTTGCCATCCGCTATGCCACAGTTACATTGTCAATTCCGTGGATATTCGCCATGGTTCTATAGATATATATATATATATATATTGTGCATTTGGTATGCGCATAACTGTCGTGCCATAAACCTCATTCGTCTTAATTTGTATGCCTTGTTTTGTTACGGCTAGGCCCTGTGTTTTGTTGATACTTATTTATTATTTTTATGCCCTGCTCACTTAGTACTTTGCCTTTGTTCCGATTGCGTGTCTCCCAACATCCAATCCATCTAGTTATCTGAAGGTGGGGGCTAGCCTAGCATAGCATTAAGGCCCAAAACTTGATTTTGCGGCTGGAAGAATTGCTGGGAGAACAATAAATACTCGTAGCCACATAAAATAATCATCATCAAAATCAAAATCAAAATCGGAAGCAACAACCTCAACGCAAACGACAGTTATAGGAATGTGAATTATGTGAACAATGACAATAACACACAAACGCTGTAAATAAAGGTCTCCTTTCATACTTATATTCTCTTGTACAGATATTTAATTGTGTTTGTTTGTTGGTACATACATACTTACATACATATTTACTAATATTTCATTTAATTTTCGGTTTACTTTTGAGATACTGTTTGTTGTCACCCATTGAGACGCTTTGATTTTGTTTTTTGAATATTCTATATAACTCTTTGTATTTGTACATGATTATCATTATTAATGTTTATATTAATCCACTGCTAACAAAAATAAAAAAATCATCATCAACTTTGTACAGTAAAACCATGAGCGAGCAAAGAAAACAAAAAAAAAAAAAAAAAAATATAAATATAAATAAATCCAAGTCCCAAAGCTTCGGCTTTTGACGATGCTAAACGTAGGATTTCCAAGATTGGTAGCCCAAGCGCATGAAGATTCTGTAAATAAACACACTTGTAATATATTCAAAATAATTACCTCTAAGTTTATCATTGTGTTCTCTTAACAAACAAACTTCCAATTTGACTGTGATCCGAGCGAACGGTTTGTAAATCTCCTTATTATGGTTAATCATTTTATGTCTTGTTCCTCCTAATCAGATTCAAGTCTGCCAAGCTCTTGGAAATCGTACAACCCACAACGCCCAATCCATTTCAACGAATGCCTTTCAAATTTCGTTTACCGGTTTGTTGAGTTTCCTTCAGTTGTCCGATCCCCAAAAAAATTTTACAAAAAATGAAATGAAATTTCCCCAACCGCATCCCAAATCCCTTACCACAATCCCAGCTTTTGATTTATCTTTTTGCTTCAAAAACCAAAAAAAAATATATTTATTAATTATGGAAATACATAAAGGATTGAAAACAGGAAAATTCATTTGTTTCCATCGAGCCTATGAAAGCGAATTCGAGACACATCTGTATAGAAAGCAATGCGCTCATTAATTTTACTTACTCTCTGTCATACTTTGTTTTTCTAATTCAATTTCGTGAATATCGAAAGCCAGAAAGGATTTCAGCTAAATTTTGTGTGCTCCTTTGCACATGCCAATGAGAAAAAAAAACAGAAAAACCTATTAAAAAAATTTTAAGAAAATATATATTTTTAGCAACAAATATATATTGTATACAGCTTTGTATATGATGATGAAATGTTGGGATGGGCTGCCCGGTGACCGCTAGTATAATTGTCTCATTTATCAATTACTTATTGTACTTTCTTCTTACTACATTCTACCTAACCTAACAACCTACTACTACTTTACTTTACTACTACCCTACTACTACTATTCGTACTACTATTTGCTCTATGGGTTCACTATTCTGTGTTGTTGTTTCCTTTCTATCTGTATATGTTTAACTATGTATATTTCTGTGTCCGTGTTTGTGTCCCTTTTGAGTTCCCCAAAAGTCCTTTTGTTTGTATTTGACGTTGGTTTCCTTCAGTTGCTTCTCAGTCGTTCTTTAATTAGTTTTTCGGTTTCATTATTCAGTTTGGGGTTCCCCCGTCGATTTTCAGTTCGTACATGTGTGTAATTAAATTAATGTAATTTTAACATGAAACTCAACAATTTCTGCTCTCGGTTACTCATAAGTTACAATTGTGTCGTTTGTTCGTTCGTTCGTTGGTTGAATCCTTCGTTCCATCCTTTTTTCTAGCTGTGTGTGTCTCTCATTTATCATTCCTTCTAAGTGTTGTGCGTGTGTGTGTGTGTTAGAATGTTTTGGGCTACTACTACATACTCTACTGTAATTTAGCCCGGCTATCTAATATATAACTCTGCGCTTAACGGTCTGTCCGACCAACCAAAAACCAAAAAAAAAATGAATCCAAAAGATACATCATAATGAGAATACTGAAGAAAAAAAGAAAACAACTGCAAAAGTATTCTAATTTATTTTCCAGTTTTTATTTTCTATTTTTTCCATGTCTGTGATGTCGTTTTTTGCCTTGTCATGATATACTCCTTTATGCCACAAAAACGCTTCTCTGTAGTAGTTGACCATTACACGCACACTCCACACATCCTGACATACGATACTCGTACAATACACAGTGGTGTACCACGCCCACTCCTACACCTTTGTTTTGTGCCTTGTATAACTCATAAAGTGTAGTTGCTACTTAATTACAATCATTACTCAAAAACGCCACAAGGCCGGTCCCAAAACTCACACCCACACACCCCACACAACACTCACCCGATTACCCCCGACACAAATACATCCATCCATAAATACAACAAAGTCATATGTACACACACGTATGTATCCTTGCATATCCTTTTGGCTTTTTTACACCACACAACATAATTGGTATTTTTCCCATAATTTGTTCTCTCTTTTTGCGATTCTGCGTGCGCCTGCTTTTGAGTTTTGCTGTAACGTTTGCTGTAGCCTGTGTATTTCTAAAGAAACAAACTGAAAACAATTCAATTTGTTAAGAGAAAAGTTCGACAAATAACAAAAACAATACAAACCCGTTTGTTGTGTGCCTTTTTAGCTGTAAACATTTTGTACTGAATGTGTTTTATAGTATGTATATATACATATGCGATATATTAAACCATATTTGTATCTGTTGGTGTATACTTGTACGAAACGGATTTTAGTTACAATTAACTTTTACAAAAAACTCTACAACTCTGCCAAGAAAAAAATACATACATATAGAAAAAAGAAACCGAAAAAAGAGAGGACCCTTTACCAAAAACAACAAATATATATATATATTATCTCTCGCGTTTGCCATAAAAAAACCTGAAACAGAATACTCCAATTTATTCATCATGAGTAAATGTTTGTTATTATTTTTTAGTTGATTCAAATGTTATGCTTGCTCTAGCAACAAATACCTTATACTATACGAAACCCACAACTACCCACTCGTATGTTTATCGACCTGATTTCCCACAACCCCAGATATCCCCACCATTCTCCCCGTGCTTTTGGTTTCACTTCTGCTCCGAGACCCGGAAGACCAAGATGAACCAAGTGTGTGTTTTTTCGATTCAGTTTTTAGTTACATTTTTTTTTTTGAACGTGTCGTGCCTTTCAGTTGAATTTACTACTGTGCTCCAAAAGGAGTTGGGCAGTGCAATTCCACAGCTCTGGGAAATGCAGCTGAACAAGAAAAAAAAAAAATTATATGAAAAACTCTTGTCTTTAAGTTATTTCTGTGAACGTCATAAGTCTTTGGTTTGTTCTTCTTCCGTACCGCCTTGAGTTTGTTTCTGTTTGTTGGTTTTTTTTTTCATCTGGAACTTACATACTTATCTTACTTATGTATTGTACTTACCGCTGCTTTTTACACATTTCCACAGAAATTGTTGTTGTTTCTCTGCCACTCGGTGCCGCACTTGAAGCTCAGATCTGTGAGCTGGGAGCTGGGGCCATGACCGCAACTTTTAACTGGCAACTACTGGCAACTACTGGCAACTACTGGCAACATGCAACACGCAACCGAACGGAGCACAACGCAACGCTCGACTTGCGACATATTTGCTGATTTAAAGCTTCATTTCGTCATTTATTTGCGCAATTTTCTCCCGGGCCATCAGCATCAGCGGCCACTTAATTAAACAAATTTCTGTGCAATTTAAAAGGCATGGCCCTGGGGAGAAATCCCAGCCAACAGACCAGCTTCCAGTGCGGCACTCGGCATCACAAAAAAAAAAAAAATCCTAAAAAATTCTTTAAAAAAAACCAAGAAACATATTTTTCTCAAGTTCTTAGACCTTTGTAGATTTGATTTTAAAACTGTCCTTACTTTAATGTGTTGCTATTTCTTAATACAAACTACTACTTAACTCTACTCCCACTAAACCTTTACTACTTTCTACTACTAATACTGCTACTAACCACTACCACTACTATACTACTACTACTACTATTTATTTTTCCTATTTCTGTGTGTTCTGTGTTTGAAGACAACATCATTTGCGATTTGCATTAATTGAATTTTTATTTGTGCTTTTAAAATAATCATGTCCCCCAGACTTTTGCAAGGGCCGTGAGACTTTACAGAACCTCTGCGACCAAATTCCGGGCGATGCCCTGCTCTACTCGCTTTTCCGGGAGAGCGCCGAGCCGGTCAAGTGTCCGCTCAAGGGTGAGTACTTTGTAGAACTTGACGACAGTTCAGGGACCTTCACTAAGGCTATTCCTCATCCGGCATATTCCTCTAATTCATCGCAGGCCCCTTCATCTTTACGTACAATCGAGGCCACGGGGAGTGCAAGTCGCCGGTGTCCAACATTGAGAGCTGCACCGAGGAGAGCCGCCTCCTGTTGAGCTTCCAGGCCTGTCCCGATGTCCAGGGCACCGAGAGTACGGGTGAGTCCCTCTCCAGCAACAATGACTCATCGCCATTCAGTTCTGCTCAAGACGAACATCCTTCCTTCCGTTTTTCTTCTTCGCATGTTTTTGTTCCCGATCCTGCAGTGGAGGAGCTGACGTGCCTGGCGACCTGGAAGGATGGCAACTCACGCTATTTGGTGGGCCTGGTCTCGCACCATCACGCCATTTCGAACGAGGAGCGCTACCGCTGTTTTGTCTACGAGAAAATCTCCTCCCTGATGGGTAAGCAGCACACAGTCTTGTTCCTCATCTCGCCCCACCCTTGGCCTCCAGTCCCCTGAAGCCCTCGGGCAAACAGGATGAACTTTTGTTTGAGACCTAATACCCAATCCGTACTCGCATTCGTACCATTCACAGGCGGTCCCAGTATGCTCAGCTCCAAGGATGCCGAATATAAGCTGGCCCAATCCGGCGACGCCACTTGCAATGGCTTAGACAGTGCCGAGGTAAGCATTTTCGGAAGCCCAGCCCTCCCCTCGTTCTTTCCACTTAAGTGCACTCAGAAAATCATTTTCAAGAAACAAGAAAATATAATTAAGGATGGAGGTAGTCTTCTTGGGTGTGAGATTTTACATAGTGAAGAATTAATTGCTCAACGTTTAAATTGTTCGGACAATAAAGCTTCAATTATTGGCTTATTGATGTGGAATTTTAATTAAAACACAAAAATAAATCAGAATTTTTCAGTACTTAATAATATGATACAAATATATTCAATAAGGACACTTGATACCTTAAACTATGTGTCGAGTGCCTTGAGTGCTTCAATCACCACACCCAATTGAAAATCTAACCAACTCCGTTTCCCCAGGTCGGCTCCCGTATTATGTCGCTGCGAAAACCGCCCGTGGCCGAGCGCTGCGACTTTCCGGCCTGGTTCAAGGGTCCGCGTCACTGGCATGCCCTCATGGGCAATGCCGTCTACAATTATCATTCCAAGTGAGTAGCAAATGGGCCTGAGGCTAGGCCAGGTTGTCAACAGGACTTAACTCCACCTCTTCCTTTCCCTGCTCCTGTACTCCGCCTTTGCAGCGACGGATCCGTGCACATTATTAAGCCCAACGGCTATATGGAGACACGTGCGCTCTGCGAGCAGATAAATAAACAGACCTCAACCGAAATGATGGCCGTGGTGCACTACACAACCGGGTGGTAAGTGGCCCCAAATTGAAAGCGTTGTCACTCTATTTTTGCCGAATGTCCTAAATGTCCTTTCATTTCCCCCTTTCCTGCGCTGTGCTACGTCGCCTGCAGCCAATCGGGATTCATGTGCATGATGTTCTACCGCCGGGACACGTTCGTCATCGAGATTCAGACGGGCAAGCCGGCCATTCGCCTGGAGGATGCTTGTGCACCGGATCACTTTGACATCAACAAAATGGCCTACATCACCTTGTTAGGTACAGTATATTCTCTTTTGAACAAAAGGGTTCTAAAGTTCAATATGCAAAGGAAATAAATTTCATTTGGCCTCGTAAAATCATACACACAATGTATTTCAGAAGTATAAAATTTATATTTATTGTGTTAGAGGGCAAGTGCCATTACAATTGATTTTTTGACAAATTGAATTGGCTTGAACTTTATACTTTAGTTCCGAAGTCTCACCCTCGTGCTTGAATCAATTTAATCCCCCAAAATGTCCTCCCATTTTAGCCAGCAATCCGGATTTGGCAATTTGTCCCATGGAGGGCATCTACACTTTGCGAGGCGCCATCGGGCCGCCGTATCTGGCGACGCGCCACAAGCGCAATCACAATGGGAAATCGCATCTGGGCCACGGACACCATCATCATGAGAGCGCCGACTCCGGTGGTTTCGGTCATAGGGGGTATGTCAGGGTTCAAATGGTCGTGCAGCCACCTCTGGCATTTCTTAATCTATTTCCGTGGTTGCAGGCACAGTTCGCTGAGTTTTCGGAATTTGGAGCGCAGTGAGCGCGGTTCATGGCATGGCAATACCCGAGGACTTCAGGTCCGCAATCGCCGCAACGCACCCAAGGATCCGCAGGTATTGGAGCATCATCATCAGCAACAGCAGCAGCAGCAGCAGGCTTTGGTCCTTCAGAAGGTCAACAGCAGCGACACTAGTGTGGGATTTGTGGCCACTCGGAATCGCCGGGATGTGCCCGCCTGTGTGCCCAATTACAATGCTCAGCGCCAGCTTTGGGTGGGCTGTACGGCGGAAAATCTGATCGATGTCAGTCCAGTGTGCAGCGTAGAGGGCGAAGAGGGTAAGTCAATCATTTGCATTTTCCATCACGTGGTTTTCATTATATTTATGCCTTCTTCATCAGAGTACTCCTGTCATGGGTCTTGGAGCGAAAACAGCACCTTCTACATCATCGCCCGGCACAAGGGCAGCAAGCACGGGGTCTGTCTGACCTACAAGCCGACGGAGGGCACTGCAGCCAAGCTGGTTGTGGGGGATGCCTGTTACCGTGGAACCCAGAAGCCACCCGATCATCACCTCGTTGCCGAACTGTCAGTTTTGGGTGAGTGCTACCACCTATGATGTGATATAGTATGAAAACTAATGGTACTAATTTTTTAGGAAAATGCGGCGAAACTGGCTTCAGTTCCGGTTCGACTCATCTGGCCAACTGGCTGCTTTTGATGGCGATGACTACTTGGCTAATCCTGCGAAGCTGAAATAAAAACTCCCCATAGGCAAATAAGCATGACTGGCCAAAGCGCAGCGTATACATCACTAATTCCCCGATACCAATACCAAATCCAAATCCCATTACGATCGACATGTATACATCAACCATCTAAGACTTATTGTATATTTCGTGTAGTATGTTTAAGGCGAAAACGAACCAATTCGCACTGGTTTGGCTGTATATAATGTATTGTTTTTTCTTTATTAATGATACACACTTTTGTTTAGTTCTAAGGGCTTTAAATAAACACAATTTCGATGGATTAAGACAAAGCACAGACACGGAATATGGAAAACGGTTTGCAATACAGCCTTAGATCAGCGCTATTTGTATTTAGGCCTATTTGACTAGAAACTATTTATGCAAATATGCATCAAAAGCTATTTATTTATAGTGCGATTACATATTAAGCAGAGAAACAAGAACAAAACCAAGCAGAGAAAAGACATCAGTACTATACGAATACAAGCTAAAAGCTTTTTCGTTTTGTTTGTTTTTTAAAATCATCTTGTAGTGTGTTTAATGGCATGTATTTTGTATATCATTTCCAAAATGTTTCCTACACAAAGTACATATTATAAGGACACAGGACGAAGAGGGCATTTTAAACTACATATATACAAATACTGTAAACGAAATGTATTTGGAAAAAAGTCTGTTTTCGCGATGTCTTCAAAATGTACAAAACGAGCAAGTTATGCTATTGCGATTACATTCAAAACAGCAAATATATGGCATACATATACAATATATTTTTATGTACAAAAAAAGGCAAAATCGTACATACATTCAATACATACGAGTATATATAATGGATAACGTTTTGCATAGGATCGCATTGGTTTCATAATACATAATTAATACCTTGCAAAGTACGCATATATTGTATGATTCATTATTAATAGTTATACATATACTGGCAACCATACAACATACAACATACCTAGGATTGTAAGCAAAAAAAACGTGAGGAATTCGAGCAAATTTGATAAGTAGAACCACACCACTTTCATAATCAATCAACTAACTTCGTAAGATGCAGAAAATTAAAATGAAATTAACGAGAGGGAAAGAATTAATAAGAATACATCTCACAACTCAACCAAACGAATGAATGACATACGGTGTCGGATCAGGAGCTAAGGATGCTAAAATAATTAGTGTGTTTAAGACAATTAAGCGGTGATATAGGTCTAGAAATAAACAACTGTGTAAGTCTCTTATGATAGCACAACAGCAACAGCGACAAAAACAGCAGTTGCTGAATTATAGCAGGGTGTGAATGAGAATGAGGAAATAATGATGATCAAGTGTATCCAAAGGATTTCAAAAACTAGCATTTTTCTCTCATAGTAGTTGAACACAAAGAAGCAAGCAAGTAAGAAAGCAGTTTTGCCCGAAAAATTCCAAAATCTTAATATCGTTTGTCGAGTATTGAACCGATATACCGATTTACCCATTAATCAGTAGCCGATTATGAGAGCGAGATATGGTACCCCTTCAAGGCAACTAGTCAAAATTATGATGCGTAACTCTGAGTTCCATGTAAATAGCGAATGTGAAAGCGAATTGAGCAACAGTACGCGGCGTCTGTATACATATGTAACTAATTGCTAGTTAGCTAAAGGATGAAAGGATTGTGGCAGGAGAAACGAAACGATGACTTGGTGGGTAGGATGCGAACGTGCGTACACAGAACATAAGGGTTACTTTCTAAGTACTATGTATACATTCAGCAAACACTTATAAATATACGAATTATAAACGGCAGACACATCCAATAGGAATACACTAGGAAAACGGGCACAGGACCCATGAATCCCCGAAACCGGAACCGGAAACGGCATCGGCCATGGCAGAAGCTCTCCGTTAAGTGTGGCCAGACAAATCAGTAATCTTGATGTACAAAATGTACAATGATGTAGAGCCGCGTTGTGGATAGTCGTGCAGAAAATAACTTGAACATTTTTTTGAGTGTACCTCTCTCTACATAAGCATTTCCATTTGTTGTCAGCTTTTAAAACGTAAATATGAGCATATTTAATAATAACGAAAGCATTTTAAAAAACAAGAAAAAAAAACCGAAAGCCACATAAATCAAACAAAAATTATCGTATAATACTTCAAGCCAACCGGGAAAGTTTTCAGTCCCAATCTCCTGCCTCCATCAGCCAGCACTGAAATTCCGTATGGCTACCGCTTAGCTGGTTTATTTTGCAATTGTTAAACTGAGACACTTTACTGACCTCCTCCCTCCACTTCCACTTAAGTTTTAATTTCTGAATAACTCAACTCCATCCTCAAAAACCACATCCAACTCCAGCCTTAGTTGTCTTCTTGTGTCATTGTGAAAATCTTAGCGTGTTATTGATGTTCCAAACGGTCTCCACAAATGTATTCGAATGTTTCTAAAAAATGCTAAAAACAAAAAAAAAATAATTTAACAATAAAAAAGATAACTATATAATAAAAAAAGGAAAACGAAAACATAATAAATCCAAACCGAACATAAATGTGCAAACATATTTTTGTAAATAGACGAAGCAACGCTTGAATTTTTATCCAATTTTTGTGTATGGCCAATTGCAGTCGACCGACTTTTGAGCGGTGGGCAGTGGGCGGCCGAGCTCAGCTTGTGGGCGTGGCTGCCTTGCCAGAGTGTGAACGCTAAGCATTAGAGATAAGTGACTTTTATATTCAAAGCGATTTTATAAATCATTTTAATTGTCTATTTTAAAATGTGCAGCAAGCTGAAAAAAATATGCCGTCAGTTTAGTTTATGTGTGTGAAGAAAAATGTATGCAATTTTCGTCAATAATTGAATGTTTCAAATACTATGTTCTAACCTTGTTTGGATTTGTTTTTTAAGCTAATATAAATACAAATACAAACTAATTAAAAATATATGTGTATAAAATGAGTTTTATTCTGAAGGTGTTTTACAAACCGGAAATTTTATTTTGATGCAGATTAATGAAGATTTTATCTGGAAGTCCTTTAAGGTATTCCGCTCATAAATCGGGTAAGAATTGGCTAAGATATGGCCATCACGGTGGGCCCTATAAGGGAACCCATCACGAAAAATGGTCAAAAAATCCAAAAAATATTTTTTCTCAGGATTTTGATGCAGAATGGTGGCAAATCGATCTAGAAATCGTTTAAGGTACACCGCTTGAGAATCGGATGAGAATTGGGGAAGATATAGCCATCACTGTGGGCCCTATAAGGGAAAACCCCATTTTCAAGGGATCCTATCATGTAAAATGGACAAAAAATCCAAAAAATATTTTGTCTCCGGATTTTGTTGCAGAAGGGTGGCAAATCGATCTAGAAATCGTTTAAGGTACTCCGCTTGAGAATCGGATAAGAATTGAGGAAGATATAGTCGTCACTGTGGACCCTATAGGGGAAAACTACATTTTCAAGGGATCTCCTCATAAAAATGGACAAAAAATCTAAAAAATATTTTGTCTCAGGATTTTGATGCAGAATGGTGGAGAATCGATCTTGAAATCGAATAAGGTACTCCACTTGAGAATCGGATAAGAATTGAGGAAGATATAGTCGTCACTGTGGACCCTATAGGGGAAAACTACAATTTCAAGGGATCCCACCACGAAAAATGGACAAAAATCTAAAAAATATTTTGTCTCAGGATTTTGATGCAGAAGGGTGGCAAATCGATCTAGAAATCGTTTAAGGTACTCCGCTTGAGAATCGGATAAGAATTGAGGAAGATATAGTCGTCACTGTGGACCCTATAGGGGAAAACTACATTTTCAAGGGATCTCCTCATAAAAATGGACAAAAAATCTAAAAAATATTTTGTCTCAGGATTTTGATGCAGAATGGTGGAGAATCGATCTTGAAATCGATTAAGGTACTCCACTTGAGAATCGGATAAGAATTGAGGAAGATATAGTCGTCACTGTGGACCCTATAGGGGAAAACTACATTTTCAAGGGATCTCCTCATAAAAATGGACAAAAAATCTAAAAAATATTTTGTCTCAGGATTTTGATGCAGAATGGTGGCAAATCGATCTAGAAATCGTTTAAGGTACTCCGCTTGAGAATCGGATGAGAATTGGGCAAGATATAGCAATCAAGGGATCTCCTCATAAAAACGGACAAAAAATCTAAAAAATATTTTGTCTCAGGATTTTGATGCAGAATGGTGGAGAATCGATCTAGAAATCGTTTAAGGTACTCCGCTTGAGAATCGGATAAGAATTGAGGAAGATATAGCAATCAGTGTGGGCCCTATAGGGGAAAACCCCATTTTCAAGGGATCCCATCATGAAAAATGGACAAAAAATCCAAAAAATATTTTGTCTCAGGATTTTGATGCAGAAGAGTGGCAAATCGATCTTGAAATCGTTTAAGGTGCTTCGCTTGAGAATCGGATGAGAATTGGGCAAGATATAGCAATCACTGTGGGCCCTATAAGGCAAAACCATATTTTCAAGGGATCACATCATAAAAATGGACAAAAAATCTGAAAAATATTTTGTCTCAGGATTTTGATGCAGAATGGTGGAGAATCGATCTAGAAATCGTTTAAGGTACTCCGCTTGAGAATCGGATAAGAATTGAGGAAGATATAGTCGTCAATGTGGACCCTATAGGGGAAAACTACATTTTCAAGGGATCTTCTCATAAAAATGGACAAAAAATCTGAAAAATATTTTGTCTCAGGATTTTGATGCAGAATGGTGGAGAATCGATCTAGAAATCGATTAAGGTACTCCACTTGAGAATCGGATAAGAATTGAGGAAGATATAGTCGTCACTGTGGACCCTATAGGGGAAAACTACAATTTCAAGGGATCCCACCACGAAAAATGAACAAAAAATCTAAAAAATATTTTGTCTCTGGATTTTGATGCAGAATGGTGGAGAATCGATCTAGAAATCGATTAAGGTACTCCGGTTGGGAATCGGATAAGAATTGGGAAAGATATAGCTTTCACTGTGGACCCTATAGGGGAAAACTGCATTTTCAAGGGATCTCCTCATAAAAATGGACAAAAAATCCAAAAAATATTTTGTCTCAGGATTTTGATGCAGAATGGTGGAGAATCGATTTTGAAATCGATTAAGGTACTCCACTTGAGAATCGGATAAGAATTGAGGAAGATATAGTCGTCACTGTGGACCCTATAGGGGAAAACTACAATTTCAATGGATCCCACCACGAAAAATGAACAAAAAATCTAAAAAATATTTTGTCTCTGGATTTTTATGCAGAATGGTGGAGAATCGATCTAGAAATTGATTAAGGTACTCCGGTTGGGAATCGGATAAGAATTGGGAAAGATATAGCTTTCACTGTGGACCCTATAGGGGAAAACTACATTTTCAAGGGATCTCCTCATAAAAATGGACAAAAAATCTGAAAAATATTTTGTCCCAGGATTTTGATGCAGAATGGTGGAGAATCGATCTAGAAATCGATTAAGGTACTCCGTTTGAGAATCGAATCAGGATTGGGGAAGATATAGCCATCACTGGGGGGCCTATAGGGGAAAACTCCATTTTCAAGGGATCCCATCACGAAAAATGGACAAAAAGTCTATAAAAAAGGTTGGGATTTTAAGTGATTGAAAAAAAAAAGTTTTTAACTGTATGGTAAAAATATTGGCTGGGGGATAAATAGCGAGCTTTCAAGTTTAAGAAGTCATTTTTAATAGACAGATCATTTTTGTATAGAACATTTATTGTTAAAACTTTATGTTTTCCTTACAGTTATTATTTATTGAAATCCCCATTCCACGTCCCATTCCATTAAAAAAGTACATTTAAATTTTATTTTATTTGCTGAAAACTCCAAGTTGAAAGGTAAGCTTTTGAATGTTACAGATCCTTTCGAGTCATCCTTCAGTCGGCATCTGGGTTGTTTGGATTTTATTGAAATCTGTATCTCTTTTTTCATATATTTGGTGGGTGAGGTTAGTTTTGGGCATTGAAAAATACCAATTAAAATTCAATTGTTTTTGGGCAATTGAAATGATTTCGCAACAGTTGACCTCACCCGAAAAAACTGATGCTTATCTATTATAAAATTATTGTAATTATAAGAAAGTAAAGTAAGAAAGTGTTTATTTAGTCCACGGTTTTATTTAACATAAATTCCGCAGATGAGTGTTAACCAATTTAAACTGGCAACTAACGAATAAAAATCAGTATCAAAAATCAAATCATTAGCCCTGTCAGCCCTGTCATTAGCATCAAAAATGATGAATATAAGTACTTTTTTTAAATCATAATTTGCAGTTATTTTTCAAACAGTAACATTCTTTATATTCCTAAGTTTTTAGTTTGGTTTATTAAGAACCAATTTGGGCACTTGATACATTTTTCTATATATCTTGCCATTTATATCTATATATCTTGTTTGTCCATATAACGTATCTTTAACGATGTCATCAAGGATTAACCTGAGGAGATAATTTTACTAAATATAATTATATAAAATATCATTCATTCAGTATTAAATTATTTGTCAGGTATCGAAGTTCATACATTTTTTGTTAAGCCGTATTTTTGGATCATAACATGCATAGGGGAGGTGTCTTAATTGTGACTTTATTACTTGATGTTTAATGTATTTTCGTATACATCTAATTGATCCTTTTTCCATATAAGGTAAAAAACGAATTTGGCTTCTTCATTTATGAAAAATTACGGATTACTGAATTCTATCTTCATCTATAAAATCTAATAATTTGGAAAATTGTATTTCACAACTTCGTTCACAAAATAAAAGTCAATTTTCAAGCAGATCATGATCAGAGATTCATATTAACAGTCCCGTGCAACACTTTTCAAAATATCACAAAATTCATTTTCAAACGTCTCGTATTGCAAATCGCATAATAATATATGTATGTATATTTTGTTAATGCAGAATTAATGCTTCTATTCCATTCGTGAAATCACATTGTTTTGGGGAAAATAGCTTTTGGCTTACAATTAGTAAAGTTTAATGCACAGTTTATTCCTGATATAATTTCAAAAAGGCATGTTGGGTATAACATTCTTCCCGCAATCCCCATACATTCATGTGGGTGAAAGGTATATATTGAAAAGAATATAATTAAGAGTCTTTTGAATACTAAGCGTCAAGTTCCCACGTTGGTTGCCAATTTTCAATAGTAGAAATTTTCGGTTTTTAAATATTAATTTTTAATAGTAATATAACCAAAAATCCCGTTGGGAAAATTTTGTTTACAAAGAAATACAGGCGTGAGGGGTTAACACAATTAGGCAAAAAAAAACGTTGAATTGGTTGGAATGTTGGTATTGAAAAAATATTTTTTTTTTTTTGTAGATAAATAGTTGATAATTATGCGATTTCCAATTTCATTACTAAAGGCATATTCTTTTAAGCAATATTAGCTCAAGCTAAATTTATTACTATATTTTTTAATTTTAGCAATTAATATTTTCTTGCTTAAGCGCTGCTTTTGAAATAATTCCTTTACTCTTGCAAAAACTCCATATACTTTTTTTTTGATTAACAGAAGATGTTGAATTGTAAAGCTTTTGTTTATTTTATTTAAAGAATGATTCCAGACGTCAAGTGGACAATGATGTAAAAATTTGAGGTACCAATAAGCCTGAGAATTTATTCTTAAGACAGATGAATTAAAAACGTTGGTTGAATAAATATAATCCATAACTATAGCGAAGATTACAGATATGATGACCGAGTGAGAATTTATGTAGTACTCCCTATACTCAGCAAATCAAATAAATATTGCATTATTATTGAACATTTTTTAATTAACCATTTTAGGATATAGAGGATGCCGACCTAGCCAAACTATTTGATTTGTTGTGTTTCTAAATAATATTTAAAATTGTTTCAATTTAGAAAGTCACCAAAGAACAATTTTAATA